CGTGTCTCTTTTTATACCATCTGATGCTTGTGTCTACAGCGTCCTTACTTGGCTGGGCATTTAGTTTATGCCTGTGCAGACCCTGGTGTTGGGCTCCCTGTGGCCTGCGGAGAAGGCGGCTAAGTGTGCTCGTTGTGTCCATCTGTGGCGCGTGCCACACCAGAGGTAAGGGGTCAGCATGTTTTGGGTCTGTTGTTCCCACCAGGCCAGGGATTTTTTTTTCTCTTTCTCTAAAACCCTTTAAAAACACACATGCAGATGGAGCTTCTTTTCCTGGAGGGAATTAAAGGGGTGCTATTAGAAGAGATGGGGCTACAGGAATAGATCATCTTTGGGTGCCGGCCCAGAAGGTAGTGAGAAAATGAGACAAAGCAAAGATAGCATTGTTTAGCACAGTGCCAAGTGTCAAGGCACTGTAGTCGTATCTTCGAAGTCACAATCTCTTGGGACAGGTGACTGAGACAAAAACAAAAGCAAAACCAAAAACCTGAAAAACTCCCCATGGGATTCTGACAGGCGCATCCTGGTTAAAACCCACTCATCAAAGCCATCTCATTAAAATCACACTAGAGCTCTTTGAGATTTAAAAAAAACCTAAGTTCCAGAGAAGGAAACTTGCCCAAGGATGTACTTGGGGTATCGAGATGCTGCCCCTCTCTCTGAGTGGCTGTGGATGAGGGAGCTGCAGGACAGTCCATCACTTCCAGCGGGTCTGAGCAGAGGTGTAGTGGCAGCAGGCGTGGCCTGTGTGAGGAGGAGACCCCAGGCTCAGGAATCAGAGTGTACCAGGGAGGCGGCACATCAGGCGTTACAGGCGAGAGGCAAGAGTGGTATGACCTCAGTGAGTTAGTTGTTGATCCCTCTGTGAGCCTCAGTTTCTTGACCTGGAAAATGGGTTGGATGATCATCCAGCTCCCAGTGCTGTGCTGGAGGTTAGATAAGATCACACAAATGAAAGAGTGTGGCCACAGTGCGTGGCCCATGTAAGTGTTCAAATAAGACAATTTCTCCTTCCTTATCCTCCTTCCCCCTTTTCTCTCTTACTTCCTCCTTTAAAAAGAGTTGTTTTAAATAGCTATCTGGGTTTTTTTCCGACACCACTTAGAAGTCAATGAAAATCAGCTCCAGCTTCCTTCTTTCTCCTCTTCCCTTTATTAATGCAGTGGCGAGGGGCCGGGTCTGAGGCTGGCTTCTCAGTGGGACTGCAGGCCTGGAGCACTCACTCTTTTGGTCTCAGAATCTCCCTCTCCCAGGAGGGGCGTTGGTCCAGGGGCTTGCAGCAGCCTCCCCTCACTTTAGTTCGTGGCGACACCTTGTTGCACCTTTGCTTCTCCCTGACTGCCCGGGTCTCACCGAGGGGTGCAGCTGGCTTTTCTTTCTGGATGGGATTTGGTGATGATAAAGCAGCCATTTGTTTAGCACTGTTGTTAGTTGGGACTCTTTTGGTTTCAAGGGACAGGAACCAAACTTGAATGAGCTTGAGCAAAAATGGAATGCATTGGAAAGTTTCAGAGGAGGCTCAAAGACTTGACGGAGGTGCTGAAGAATCCAGCCGCAGGAAGAGAACACGTGACCTCCAGCATCCCCAGACCAGAGTCCCCCGTTCAGGGGTCCATGGCTGCAGGCAGCTCCCGGCTGACCCCACACAGCTCTCCAGCTGACCCAGGAGGATCATATTTTTCATATGGGAACTTGGCCTAGCTTGGAGCACGTGCACACACTTTGTGCCAGTGAATGTGATCATGGGGAAGAGATACTCTCAAGAACCTGCCTTGAATTCTATGCCCACTCGTTTGGCTAGAGAGTGGGCGATGGAATCTGTCATCAGAAGAAAGGAAGAAGGGTGCTAGTAATGTTAATAATTAAGAATAACACTAACTCACTTTTATCGAGTGCTTACTTTGTGACAGATGTTATTCTAAGCTCTTTACCTGTGTAACTCATTTATTCTTCATGATCAACCTCATTTTCCATACCAGGAAACTGAGGCACAGAGAGGTTAAGCAATTTGCCAGCTAGGAGGAGAGCTGAGATCGAACCCAAGCAGAGGGCTCCAAAAGTATGTTTAGCCGCCCACTCTGACGCAGACCATAGCAACAGGTGTCACCTCCGAGCTCTTGCTCCAAACACACACCAGGCTAAGTTCTTTCCAGCATTGTCTTGTGTAATCTTCAGAGCAGCCCTGTGAAGTGGGTACCGACATTATCCCCACAGAGATTATGTAATTTGCCTAGAGCCACCCAACTAATTTTAAGTGACAGAGCTGAGATAGGAACCTTGGTTTGCCTGATTTAGGGCCTGAGCTCTTAACTACCTCCCCGGGTAGCCTTTGTGTTTAGACACTTCTTGCTCTGCCAGAAGCTCCCCTGGTGGTTGGGGTAAAGAGAAGACCCGGCTCAGCGTCGGAATCTGGGGTGTGGAGACCTCTGCTTGGTGCCTGCCACTGGGGACTGACTTTGTGGTTTGAGCTGGTCTTGATGTATCTCACACTAACTTACACCAAATACTTATTAAGGATCTAGAGGATGCCACGCCCTGTCCAAATGCTTAGGGTCCCCTAGAGAAGAGCTTGGGCTTGGAGAACATCAGAGGGGAAGGTCTCCCCAAGTTCTTCTCCCTCGGGCCTCTCGTGTCCCTTGGGATCCATGAGGCCACGCAAGCTTGCAGGAACACTTTCCTGCACCACCCAAACCAGGCCCACAGGGGACCAGAGACCTCATGCTTCTTTGCCTGGGACTGGTGTGATGGCACATCCAAGCAGAGACAGCGTTTCTTCATTCTGATCGATTACAAAGGGAAACATTGGGTCAGGGAATGAGCATGGGTGTGGCCTCAGGCCAGATCCACCGTGAGTTCCAGGTCACTGCTAAGTGAGACTCTGGGAGAGGCACTTGGCTGTGCCATACCTCAGTTTCCCCCTCTGTAACTTTATACTGTACGTGCTTCACAGGGTTGCTGGGGGGATTAGCTGAGGTAGCACATGCTAACTACTCAGTGCAATGCCTGTGCACAGGTTAATCCCTCCCTGTCCTTTTAACAGCTAACTAGGTTTGTATGTGTCTCTAAAAGTCAAGGTTTATGGAGGCGGGCAGCTAGACGGGGTCCTCAGTAAGGAAATCACCAAAAATGTCAAGCTCCTCATTTTACAGATGGGGAAACTGAGGCCCCTCAAGGGAAGGGAGAGTCTGGGCTCTAGGACTTTCTGGTTTGGTGGTGTTGCAGGGAGTCGGAAGCATGTTTGGCTGTTGGTCAGAGAGTATGAGTTGGTCCCTTGAGTGGCCGGATCACAGTGTGCCCAGGCCTCTGTGGGGTCTGACCAACCGTCAATCTTTGTGGCCTGGTACAATCATGTCCACCTCCATCCCACCATACAGACAACCCAAGCAGAACCTCGAAGAGTCCTGTTTCCCCACTGCTGGTCTCAGTAATGTCCTGGGGTTGGGGTGGAGGGGTAAGGACTTCTGTTCCTGAGATCCGGGGAACATGGGGAAGTCCCTGGTTTCTCAAACCCTGGTTGGACAGACAGTGGAATTCTGCACCAGGATGTCCAGCTCCCCACCCACTGCCCCTGGAACCTTCCCTTGAGAAGCAGGGGGCAGCGAAGTCGAGGCCTCCAGTCTCTCTGGCTTCGGGCTTGAGGCAGCAGCACAGAGCCTACAGCTCAGGCTGAGAGAATGTGGCCAGGGCAGGCCAGCCTGTTTGCCGGCTGGCACAGGCCCCGAGGGGTGTGGGCTTTACAATGATGATGGTTGCAGCTTCTGCCCAGATGGCTGCCGTTGGAGCTTGCCAGTCTCACCAGGTGTGTGGATGCACCATGGCTATGCCAGGTGTTGGCGTCCAGGACACCTCACCCTGAGCTTGGTGGCAAGGCTCATGGGCGCTGGGTCAGCCAGGCCTGGGCTCACATCCTGCCTTGCTGTGGGGCCTTGGCAAGTGCCACCTGCTCTCCAAGCTTCTGTTTCCTGTCCGTGAGGAGCCACTGAGATCAAGTGTGTCTAGTCTCTAGCAGGGGCGATTCCATGCGTGACCAGGGCTCAGCAAATAGTAGGTTCTCTGCCATTAATAGCCCATGAATTCTACACAGTGAAACCCATCTCTCAGCACTTGAAACATAGCCTTCTCTGTGCTGGAGAGAACACGTGTGTGTGTTTACGTGGGTAAACAGGCCTGCCGCTCGGCTGAGCCAAGTGTTTGCAGTTCCCTGGAGTATGGATATTGCCTTTCATAGATCTCAAATTTCACATCTGTGTTAGTTTTTGCACTCTTGAGGTTACCTCTTAGACATCTGAGTTTTTTTGTTAATGTGAAAGTAAATCATTAGAAATATTTTGTAACTCTGGGTTCCATTTTCCAAACAGGTGTAGAGGCATTTTCTACAGAAGCAATAGGATGTAACCAAATAATGTGGGTGGTCACTGGAAACTAAAATAATTTGTTTAGCAAACTCAGCCATGATCAGATGCTGTCTCACTTGCATAATTTTCTGGTTTTCTCTTTTTTCTTTCTTTCTTTTTTTTTTTTTTTTAGCATTTTGGACCTTTCTACGTTAGGAAATGACAAATTTTGCATGGGTGACTTGTTATCAAGTTCTACATCAGCTTGATTTACTTTCATTAGAAATTAGCTTAGCTTAGAAATTAGCTTAGCTTAGAATTAGCTTAGAAATTCTGACACTGTTTTTACCAAAGCAGCTAATAGGGCATTCTCTTTCATATCCACCTTACTCTCTCAGCAGTCTTTGTGTAGAGATATGATAAGCCCTTAGGGTGCCCAGACTGTGGCCGATAATAGAATTTGTTTAGCAGTCTCACTATTTTTTTCTTCATGGGCAAAACTTGTTGGTGCACAGAGAGAGATTCTCTGTCTACTTCCTCTCGCTGGGTGAAGTGTCACACAGGGCAAAGTGCACAACACATGTGCCCTTTTGGAGGGGAGGAGGTAGGAGGCTGTGACGTAAGATCACGTCACTGACATTTATTGTTGGGCTCTTGTTTTCACAGGAACATGGCAACCCGTGTGTGGCTCATCCTGGACGAAGACCTTAGCCATTGTGAAGCCTGAGAATCCAGTGAGTAAGTCGCAGGGGGGGATCTTTTATGCCACTGAGTAGCTCTTGGGGGGCTGGTCCTAGGCTTAAAAAGTGCGGGACCACTTGGACTCTTTCTTTAACCTCAAATGCATGTGACCCCATTTGAAGTAACAATGCTGGTGAAACCTTCATTTTCCTCCTAAGCCTCTGTCTTCGCTGACGACCTCCAAGGTTGCACAGCCTTCCCCCACTGTCAGAGGAGGCTGGGAGGCAGGGGTTGAGACTGCGGTTTGTTTTGGAGGGGCAAGGCCTGTCTGACTCAGGGGTGTTTGGGTGGATCAGTCTCTTCCCCCCTCCCCCTAAGGAGGGCCAGCAGCTCAGCCCTGGGATCCCAATTCCAGCCCTGAGAACATTCCAGCCTCTTAGCCACCCGGATCTCTGCCAAGGCAAGGATCTGGCCAGGTGGCTTCTATAAGGAGTGACTTCAGAGCAACCTGGACCATCTGTCAAAGGTTTGCAAATGTGACCGCAGCATCTTCATCTGCGTGGGTTCCATTCTGAGGACAGCAAACCTGTTTACACCTTTCTGCAGATACAGAGGTTTGTGGAGCCTTACGGTCTTGAAGGCCTGGTGCAGGCAGGAATCAGCGATGGCCTGGCTTTCCACAGTCACCTTCCTGGACTGTTGCACGATAAGAGCCTCCCTGCCCCTCTCCTGGCTCCACTCTCGGCCCTCTCTGCTCTGTCCTCTGCAGTGCTGCCGGGGACCCCCTCAAAGCCACACCTGACCCTCACTCTCCTGCTGGCCTGCAAGGCCCCCTCCAGTGGGACCTCAGCCTTGCTGTCCAGCCGTGTTTTCTGCCCCTCCCCTATGCCCAGGCTCCAGTCCCACCGTCCTGGCACAGCTCACCATGTCCAGGGCAAGCTGTTCCCTCTGGGCTGGCGCCTCTTCCTTGCACTCTCATAGCGCTTTGTTCATACTTCAGGTCCACCACCAGCTGAGTTGGGGTTTGTCCACCTGCCCGTCTCGCCTACCTGCTGTGGGAGCCTTGAGGGCAAGGAGCCGTCCTCCACCCTTCCTGCCTGAGCCGGCAGCCCCTCCCGGCAGGCACGGTACCAGGCATGGTGCAGGTGGTCAACAGCTGAGTGAACCCTGAGGTTCGATCAGGGCTTTGCAGTCCATGAAGCTCTGTCACAGACAGTATTTCATGGGCGCCTTGCACCCCAGGAGGGGTAGTCATGTTATCTGCATTTATTTTCTAGGCATGGAGTGAGCAGTCAGATAACCTGTCCCAGGTTGTAGGCTAACAAGGACCAGGACGCATGCCTGCTGTGTCCCAGGCTAGTCTAGTTTCTGTGATGCCAAACTTTATAATTAGAAAGGTTATTTAGAGCAAACCCCTCATTACCAAACAGGGAAACGGAGGCCTGACCTGAAGATACTTTCTCAAGGTTACAGAACTAACTCGTGTCAAATGGAGAAGTGAAACACAGGCCCTGGGCTTCCAGGGTAGCATTCTTTCCACTCCTCCTCCCTCCCTCCTCCTCCTCTGCCTCCCTTCTGTATACAGCAATCAGAGAACATTTTAGGACCATAAATCTACATTTACAGGAGGGTGAAGACCTTACAGAAAGTCATGAGTTAGAGGGAACAGAGGGGCGAGTGAAACTGGCCCTGCTCTCCAGGGGCGTCCCTGGACCTGTGAGCCTGGCAGGGCCTCGAAGGAGCTGGGTTTAGCTGTGGGAGGGAGGGAGGGAGGGAGGGAGAGAGGGAAGGGGGGCATCAGGCCCCAATCCAAGAAGCCAAGCGTATGTGGCGGCCCCACCGGAGGGCAGCCGGCAGGCACGTCTGAGCATTTGGAGGCTGGCCTGGTGGGCACCCAGGACCCACGTGAGGATGAGGAGTCTGTGTTGAGAGTCGGGACAGCAGGATGAGAAGGAGTTGACTGCATCTAGGGACAGCTGCTCCAGGAGTTGTGATTGTTAGTGTCTGGGGAAGGACTAGGGCAGAGAGGCCCTGACCGGCCAGTCTGCTGCGGCCTGAGAGTCTTCCCCACTCAGGAGAAACCCAGAATGCAGACCGCGTCCACAGATGAGGCTCCGGCAATGAACTGTGAATTCCAGAATCGTCTGAAATGTGTGTGGGGAGGGACGTGTGTGCCATTCTGGGGGGCTCATTCCTATTGCGCGCAAATGAATTTTTGTTCTGCTCTGTTTCTGATTGACCACGTACCTGTCCCGTTGTTCGGTTCCCCCTTGCATGCTTGGGTCTCTCCTGGCTCATGCGTCCAGTCGAGGCTTGCCCAGGGCCAGGCAGGGCCTGGAGACTCTTTCTGTTTCCTCCACCCCTCCTTGCAACTTCTTGGACTGGGAGACTGGGACTGACCGCCGCCTCCATCTCCATTGGCAGATTGAAGCATACAATTTGCCTAAATTACAGAGAATGCGATGCTTGCCAAATAGGTACCTTGGATTATTTTCTAAAACGTTTCCAGATTATACACTTTTCTAGAGCAGGGAAAGTGTGTCGTGTTATATCATTATTGTTTACACCTCGTATTTACATTGCGCTTTATATTTTATAAAGATCATTTCATCTTCATAATCAGGCAGGTGGACTGACTCCCATTTTACAGATGAGAGATTTGCCCTGGACAAGCTGTAACCTGCCCAAGGTGATGTCGCTCTCTAAGGGCTGAGCTGGGACCCAGCCCAGGCCTCTTGTTTAAAGATTCCGAGATCTCTCTCTTCTGCTGAACTCCAACCATATGCAAATCCCTGGAGGGCCTGGGACTTAGAGAGGCTCAGTAAACATTTGTTGAATGAGTGAAATTTGACCTTCTTTTTCCTTTGACTTTTATATTTTGGCCACTCTGCACCATAAATGGATCTGCTTTGGCAGCAAAGAGAACACTACCCCGTGAAGTATTTGAGTTTCTTGCCGTGATAAGGACCTGGTGCTTTCTCTTCTCACCCAGCCTCACCTCTGGGAACTGGGTCATGCCCGCTGAATAATTAATTCCTTGAATCTTTGACTCGGTGCTTCCGGTTCCCGGTGCTGAGAAACTCTGTCAAACGCTGATGTTTGAAAGGTCGCTGGCAGAGGCAGAGCCTATTGTTTGTTGTCACAAACCTTCAGATGACCCATCTAATTGCCCACGAATAATACCCTGGCCTAAACAGGTCAGCCTTCCAGTTGGTTAACCTGATGTTTTTCCTCCTCCTACCCTTCCCCAACCAACTTTCTCTAGACTGAGGAAGAGGGACAGTTGTGGGTTATCTTAGATATTTAGGATTCAGTAGAGATAGGGAGGCCCACCTCTCCCTTCTCACCTCTGAACTTCCCAAGGTTTTGTAGCAAGGGCTGCAGAAAGAACAAGAAAACGAGGTCAAATTGGGAAGGAACGCATGGGATCGGAGAGGCCGCTATCAAGGTATCTGCTGGGTCTGCTGTTTCCCTGAGTGACACGAGTCATGTTTCTTAGAGTTTCCAGGGAACCCAGCTGGCCTCATTAGACTCTTGAGGTCAACAGAGTAGAGTGGAAAAAAGAGTGGGCAGAGACCAAAAGACCCACAACCTAGTGTGGGCTGTCCACAGCTTGGCTGCGTGGCCTTGGGCAAGTCACAGAACTTTACCTGCCCTCAGATTTCTTATTAAAGAAGTAAGGAAGGAGTGGAGGCTTGGTGGCATCTTAAAGACATCTCCTAGACTTCTGTGGTCTTTAGTGCCCACCCTCAGTTTGTCCTCGTGATTAGCACTGTCTTCTCCTCCAGTTCACCTCTCCTCATGCTACGGGAGATTGCTTCCGTAAGCACTTTCTTCCTGGCCTTTGTAGCTTTCCCACCTCTCTGCTGCCCCACCCTGAGATATGCAGAGTGCACATAAGAACTGCCTGTCCCTGCCCTAGTCTCCGATCAAGCAGCATGGGGAAAAGTCTAACTTTTTGAGAGTGTTGGAGATCTAAGGAGTGAAGGTTGGTGTGGGAGGGGAGTTGAATTAGAGGTTATTGGGATATTTAAGTTCCTAATACCCCAGGGTACAGGACCCTATTGAGTTGTTTGACCAGAGGGTAGTAAACATATTCTTAAGAATATGGCCCCAAGTTTGGCCAGGCTTTGTGGTCAGGGGTGACCAGACACTCTGGAGAAATAAAGGGAGTAGTGTTGGTAGAAGACTGCTCAGGGAGAGATGAGAGACGTTTCAGATGCACAACAACAGAAAAAGGGGAAGGGTTAGGGAAGTTGGCTTTGTTTCTAAGATTTATAGCTGCCAGGTTACAGTTCATCTACTCCAGTTCTCCCAAGTGTGAGTAAAGAAACTGAGGCCCAGAGACGTGGCTTAACCTGGCCCATAAGGGAAGCTAGGGGTAGGAGTGAGGTGGAAGCGAGTCTCCTGCCAACAGATGTCTCTTTCCCCAGTGCCATGTTGGCTCCCCATGTGGACTCAGCTGTCACACCTTCTACTTCTCTCTTTGACCCTGAATTTGAACGTCTGAGGTGTTAGCAGGGCCCCTGCTGTTTCCACCTCATTATTTATCGAGGCCTAATAAAACTCGGGTGCAACAGCATGGAGGCTTCTCGTGTGCAGGCTGTTTGACTCGTACTTAGCAACCTAGTGCTGTTGAGTCAGCATGATTCTTTTTTATGGTGTGTCTTAGGTGAAAGATTAATTTGAGACAGGAAATGAAAGCTATGATGGCCCAGCCTCAGCAGTGGTGGCCTCTCATGGGTTTGCCATTCAGAAAGAAATCACAGGGGCTTTGTTGCTAAGCAGACCTTGTGCTAAGAGCTTCCAGCAAGAGGCATGGATTTAATGCAGCCTGCCCTGTCCCTTCCTCTCAGGGGGGCTCTTGGGCTCAGAGGCTGGCTTCCCCACCGCTGTGCTGGTGGCATGTGAGCCAGAATGGAGACCACTCAGTTTTTTCTATAGGACTCCGTTTGGCCCCACACTTCTGACTGAGCTCAAGGAAATGCATCTTGGGCTCTTTCCATTGGGCAAGCACCGGGTCTACATATGTCACCTTGTTTGTTCCTCACAGCAGC